AGAGAGAGAGAGAGAGAGAGAGAGAGAGAGAGAGAGAGAAAGAAATGAACAACTAATAACTGAGGAAGGCAATAGCATTTTTACATCAGATTTGCATTTTTTATTCGGAATTAGCAACTGGCACATGACATTAGGGAGAAAAAAAGGAGGGGGTGGGTGGGTCGGTGTTTCGTTGAACGAATTGGAAGAACTATCCATATTTTGGGTAGTTGTTTCTGTCTTTCTTCTCTGAAAGTAACTTTTTTCTTTGAGAAAACAAAAGTATTTGCCTTTCTCAGAGGCTAAAATACAGGTAGGTATTTTTTGTTGCTGTTGAAACGTCTAGGTAGATCTGTGACATCTGTGTTCCATTTTTGGTTTTTAAGTCGCCGGTGGACGTGTTGTCAGTAGAGGTGTGTAATTTCTTTATGTGGCTTCGAGAAAGTTTTAGATGTCGTTTACTGGGACGCAGTCAGGCTGAGGGCCTGGTGGTTGTAAAATTAATCCTAGAGAGAATCAGTTGATGTTGTTGGGTAGTTTCTTTACGTCTTTCTAGAATTGGAGTCCGTGGCTTCTGGGTAGTTGCTGTGTGTGGTCTGTTACTTGGTTGAGCTGTGATATTTGAGTGTGGCCATTTACTGTGGGGAATAAGCATCCGTAGTTCTTTGGTAGCTCTCTGCTTTGGTCAGTTACTGTGGGCTTGCTGTGGTCAGGTACTGTGGGCTTGCTGTGGTCAGGTATTGTGAGCGTGCTGTGGTCAAGTACTGTGAGCCTTTTGTGGTCAGGTATTGTGAGCGTGCTGTGGTAGGATATTGTGGGCCTTCAGTGGTCAGGTATTGTAAGCGTGCTGTGGTAGGATATTGTGGGCCTTCAGTGGTCAAGTATTCTGAGCGTGCTGTGGTAGGATATTGTGGGCCTTCAGTGGTCAAGTATTCTGAGCGTGCTGTGGTAGGATATTGTGGGCCTTTTGTGGTCAGATATTGTGGGCCTTCAGTGGTCAGGTATTGTGAGCGTGCTGTAGTAGGATATTGTGAGCCTTGTGTGGTCAGATATTGTGGGCCTTCAGTGGTAAGGTATTGTGAGCGTGCTGTGGTCAGGTATTGTGGGCCTTCAGTGGTCAGGTATTGTGAGCGTGCTGTGGTCAGGTATTGTGGGCCTTCTGTGGTCAAGTACTCTGGTGACATGGGATTTTTGCGCGTGGTCATGTACTGTGGTCCTTCTGTGGTTAGGTACTGTGGGGAATAGTTACCTGTGGTTGATTGATATCTCCCAGCTGTGGTCAAGTATTCTGGAGACTTCTGATATTTGCGTGTGGTCAGATACCCGAAAAAATCGCCATTGGAGACGTAGTCAGCAGTGGTGGGATACATACTTTCTGTGTTTGCTTCTGTTGGTTCATAGCTGCCCTTTGTGGTCAGGTACTGTGAGGGATAATCGCTGGTGGTTGGTTGAGATCTGCCTGTGGTGGTCATTGAACTTGGATAGGTGCGTGTGGTCAGAAATTCTGAAGCACTTGGGGCTACTGTTGTGGTCATCTCATAAAGGTCGCCATTAGGGACGTAGTCAGCTGTGGTGGGATAATTTACTTCTATGTTTCTTGTTGGTTCATTGCTGCTCTGTGTGGTCAGGTACTCTACGGGTTTGGGATAGTCTCCTGTTGGTGGTTGATAGTTGCCCTGTGTAGTGAGGAAATCTGCGGACCTGGGGTATTTTTGTGTGGTGAGATACTGTGAGGAAGAGTCGCCTGTGGTCAGTTGGTAGTTGCCTGCGGTGGTCAGGTAGTCTGGATAGTTCTCGGTACCTGGCACACTTCGTCCTGGTAAAAAGGAAATAATAGAAAAACAGTTGTTAAAACTTTGATGTCTTTTCTATTGTACAGTGTGGATTAAGTTTAACTTAATGCACGTGTTAATTCTATTTTATTGTCTTCAACATTTTTCAAGTCTTCTACTTAGTCGTATTTCTTTGTTCAATAGAAATGCATTTATCTGTCTTGTTTTCGAATATAGTTTTGTCCAATGCATAAGCGCATTCACACATAAGCTCACACGGTACCAACTCACCAACCTCCCTATACCTACATACCTACGTAGGTAGGCCACCACGCGTTTTTTCTTTGGTCATTTCGAGAACATGTCGGAAATTAAATGAGCACATTTTGAAGTTTTGAACATTAACAAGTTTAAAAAAAAATTAATATTGAATAACTATGTACGAATTTAAAAAACAAAAATCTCAAGAGATCCTTACACGTTTTCCTATATCACGAATATTCTGTTTACTTTCAAACGTTCTTTTGCTAATATGGTTATAACATTTTTAGTGATATTTCTTTTTGATTATTGCTGTTGACAGGAGTGTAAAATTGATATCATTTAACGATTTCACCATACATATAGAAACACACACACACACACACACACACACA